CCCCAAAACCCCAAAACCCCAAAACCCCAAAACCCCATCTCTCTTCTATTATTGTAATATTATTAATAATGAGATCACTAACTGCACTTATCGAGCCTGAAAATTTTAAAATCGCTAGTTCTTTTCACGGAAGCACTAGTGAAGCTTTGAATACATCTTCAGTGACTATTCCAGACTTCATGTTAAGCCTGAAGAGCTTTAGAGAGCATAAAACTGATTATAAGCGTAGTTGAATTAGGAATAATCTTGATGATAGTCTTTATGAGGTTGGGACTGAAGAGTATGCTACGTTCAATGAAAACAGCCCCTCTAAGAATATATCCAAGGTTAACTTCCAACTTGAAAAGTATGCATCGCAGAGAGAAACTACAGCAAGTAGTGACAAATCTGATTGCTCCCCCGAGAAGAACACTCATTTAGATTGTTCGTTATTTGGGGATGGATCTGATCTTGAAGAGTACCAAAAGAACTGTAAAGAAAATAAAATAGATGGAAGACACTCAAGAAGAAGAGTTTCACTCTATGTGGTAAGTTTTTAGAATAATTGAGCGAAGTTCCATTCCTAAAATTTTGGATTTCATACCTATCTAGAACTTCTACTACCAACAATATTTGCTAATATAGCTTAAGAATTCTTTAATCTTATAAACTTATAGGAGCCATATAAAACCCAAACAAAGTTCTCTAAGCCACGCAGAGGTCTTTCTACTTGTGATTTCTCAAAGAAGTACTTAACTAAGATAGAATCTGAGTTATCAGATCCAAGTGATTTAATATCTTCAGAAAGTATCCCAGAATCATGATGAAACTTGCCAAAGCATTCAAAAACTCCTTTCTCAAGAAATACAGATTTTTCAACAGCTGTAGAGTTTGCTAAGAAAGCGAGTTCTTTAGCAACTATTGAATTAGATAGAGAGATTTCTTCTCTAAAAGCTCGATTCTGAGTCCTTACAGAACAAATGAGGCAGCTTGATTGTGAAAACTCTCATCTTACTCAAGAACTGAACGAGGTTCTGCTTAGTAAATTATCAGCATAACAATTTTTTTATCTCGAACTATTCTGAGCACTTGCATTATTTGGGAAGGGGCGATTAATTTTTAATCTTAGGGCAAATTTATAATATACTGTTTCAATATTGATCATTAAGTAAGGGGTTTTGGGGTTTTGGGGTTTTGGGG